CAAAGTGAGTGAATGTGTGTGTGTGTGTGTGTGTGTGTGTGTGTGTGTGTGTGTGTGTGTGTTGAAACTCAGCANTATAAGTGAGTGAATGTGTGTGTGTGTGTGTGTGTGTGTGTGTGTGTGTGTGTTGAAACTCAGCAATGGCTGTGACCTGTGAGAGGTTTGAATTTGTGGCCACTTTAGGTGAGAAGGCACAGTCTGATTAGATTCATCATCATCAAAAGGTCTAATTGCTTGTGGCCTTGCACTTAGAATTATATGGAGAGTGATTTATAGACACAGTTCCTGCCCTTTAGGAGCTTATAATCTGTAAGATACTATTATTTGGGTTGCAAAGGCAAGGTGGGTTCTCAGGGAGCCTGTCTCTAGTCCCTACTTCAGGAAGAAAGGGAGCCCTTGTGAACAAGAGGGCTCAGGAAAGGCTGAAAGGGCATGACTGGCTGGTCTGATCCTTCCCCTGTTTTGTGTCTCTTGCTGCTTCCCAGGGTATTCTTTGACTCCTGTGATGGCATCTTTACCAATTACAACTGGAAGGAGGAACACCTGCAACGCATGGTATCCTTTGAGGGGCGAAAGGCAGATGTGTATGTAGGAGTGGACATATTTGCCCGGGGAAATGTCGTGGGAGGTGGATTTGACACAAATAAGGTGAGTAGACTGGGGAGGTGGAGGAGGCTTAGTCACCATTTTAGGTAACTAAGGGCAGCTCTCTAAGGGCTCTTTCAAATTGGTTGTCTTTCTCACCTTTCCCTTCACCTTGAAGGAGGAAAGTGCCAGTTATTCTTCTTAGGAGAGAGAAATTGAGACTTAGAGACCATTGACCTATGGGGCTACCCAGCATAGGGGTGACAGGGCTCACCCCAGCCCTGGATGACTGAGAGTCTGGGGACCTATATTCCAGACCCAGACTTTAGGCACGTCTTTTTTCTTCTCTGAGAAAAGGAAGACTGGTGGGGAAGCTGGGGGAAGGGGTAGGGATAGACTAAACAATCTCTAAAGCCTCTTTTAGTTCTATTCTATGACTCTATGAATCCTGACTGTCAGATCATTAGAAGTCGTGCTAGATATAGTGCTGGATTTGGAGTGAGAGGTCTCAGGTTCAAATCCTGCCTCTGTCCCTTATCATTGCTTCTATGACATTAAGAAAGTCACTTAACCATTTTGGGCCTTAGTTTCCTCATCTATAGAATGAGGGAGTTGGATTAAATGAGGTCTCTTCTAACTCTGAATCTATGATCCTATGATAAATTCTTGTGCAGGTCTAGTAGCCTGGACCACCAGTCTTATAGCCATTCTGACTAGCTCTTACTTTTTTTGTATTTTTTAAGGACAGCAGAGCAGACTTGAAGAATGCTAAGAGTATTTTTATATTTTTTAATTCCTTAGTCAATTTAGGTGATGACCTGGGGTATTTGGTTTTGGGAAATGATAGGCTGCTTATGAGTTTCTGGCAGTACAACTTATGGCAGCAAAAAAAAAAAAGGGAGGTTGGGGGTTGATGTACCTCATGAGAGAAAAATAAACAATCTGTCTCTTGAACCGTCAATCCTATCCCTTTTCTTTTTCTATAAGGAGGTCATCAGTCATTAATTAAGCTTTAAATGAATAAAGTAATGCCATCACAGAACATTCTTCTTATGCCCAGTTATTCTGATAATGTAATGAGGTATGAGTTTCCTGCATTCCTGTACACTTTGGACATTCCTTCTGGCTTTCTTCCACCCTGCAGTGCCCCCTTATGGCAAATCTGTGAAACTACAGAATGCTCAGATAGGATTCTGCATGAATCTCAACAAGAGATGGTCATTTAACCAACAAGCATTATGAGTTCTATCGGTGTACCAGGCACTGTGCTGGGTGTGGAAGATACAAAGATAAAAGTGGAACAGTACCTGCTCTCAAAGAGCTACAGAAACGCAGGAGCTCATCAGAATAGGGTGTGAAAATTTCAGAACAGACTGATGGAAAATAGGGGACTGCATTGTGCATGTTTGATGAGGAATTAAAGACCCATTGCTTCTTACTCAGATGCTGAGAGAATCCTGATCTGTAGCCTTAGCCTCAGAAAAGGCAGTGGATGAACTTTCATATGACCAGTCTTTTTCTCTGCCTTCTGTCTTTTTGTAGTCACTAGAGCTGATCCGGAAGCATGGGTTCTCAGCTGCGCTCTTTGCTCCTGGCTGGGTGTATGAGTGCTTGGATAATAAGGATTTCTTCCAGAACCAGGACAGGTGAGCTTTTAGTCCCACTTGGGGCTTCTAGTAGTAGATCAGTGGGTCAGAGAAGGGGACCTCAGATTATTTTTTTCTAGGCAAATCAAACAGCTTGGCTGCCCCTAGGTTGGAATGTCCTAGAAAGAGATGGAAAAGCAGTGAGGGATGGATGATGGGTCGGGGACTGAGGAACCACTTCCCTCAGACTGGCATTTCTGGTGCATGAAGCTACTAGGTGGTTGAGGAAGCATGAAGTTATATTTGGCTATCACACAGAGTGTTATAAATATTTTGTTTTGTTTATATATATGTATATATATACATACATACATATATGTGTGTGTGTGTATATACATACATACACACACATATATACATACACACATATAAAAATATAGGTATATATAAAACACACATAAATATAAGTATATATAAAACGTTTGTTTATGTCATTGATTCCTTGGGCATATTCCTGTTTGTGAGATTTCTGAGCCAAATGCTTTGAACAGCTTAGTGAGTTTTCTTGAATAATTCCAAATTGTTTTCCGGAATGATTGGTCCAAACCACAGCTCTGCCAGCAGTGTATTAGTGTGTCTGTTGGCCCATAGTCCCTCTAATTCAACTATTTCTGTTTTTTATCATTTTTGTCAGTTTCATAGGTGTGAGGTAAAACCTCATAAACTATAAACACACTGTTCTTCTTCTTGGGGTACTTTTATATTGAACAGTGGCTTTTGGTCTTTTATATGTATCAATTTCTTATATAGCTTGGATACCAGACTTTTATCAAAGATATTTCAAGGCAAGTATAAGTTCGTCTTGGATGGGGTCTGGGAAAACTATAAGATGGAATGGTTGAGATTGAGGGTATACTGAGTCTCCTCTTTATTACATTTCTTGAGTTCTTCCTGCACCCACATGTTTCCATGTAGGTTTTGGAGTTTGCTGGAGCAATATCTGCCCACTCACAGCATTTGTTCCCTGCCCTTTGTCACCTCATTCTGTCTGGGCTTGGGAACACGGAGATTCTCCTATGGACAGGTGTGTGGAGTGTTTGTGATTCTCCTGTTCTCTTGAAGTCATGCTGGGTTGAGGGTAGAACAAGAGTTTCTTGCTTGTACTGAATTACAAAAAATTAATTGGTGCTTTTTGTCTTTACATAACAGTAATTTCCAGATATGCCCCTTCCTGCTTTGTACTCTAGCCAATGCGCCTTCCCTTCTATTACTTATAACTTGTTTTACTTTTTGCAAGGGGAAGCATTCTCCCTTTTGTCTTCTGATTTCCATAAATTTGTGAAAAACGGAGGGGAGGTTTGTTTTGTGTGAGTAGGATTTGTGATCTGAATAGAATTGATATCCAACTGTGATCCCTGTCCATTCCTTCTGTCCACTTTGTCCTACATAACATCATAGAATACTCTCCTTGCCTCTGGTTTTTCCTTTTAGGAAGAGACAATAGGACCCTGGTACCACCTGAGTGCTCAGGAAATCCAGCCTATCTTTGGAACCCATACATTAGAAAGTGAGTCTGGTTGGGTGAGGATTCACAGCTGCTTAATGGATGCCTGGAATGGAGGAAGCTCCCTTCTCGTGCATGGAATGATTCCTTCCAACACTGGGAAGGTAGCTGTGAGGTAGGTGAATGATCAGGGATTAGGGACTTTTCAATGTCTCTTTTGACTCTGTGCTGGCTGCTTAGCTGGCCCACCCAGTAGCACAAAGTGCTAGAGGGCCAGGGCAGATAAAGGTTTTCAGCATATATTGTGCCTTGGTTGGAGGAAGCCCTGGTTTTCCTCATGACTTTCCAAAGTCATGGTTGTAACTAGAACTAGTATAGTAGCCATCATTAGCCCAACAGCTAAATTGTGGAAGGGAAAGGTAGAGATCCTAGGGTTTACAGTGTTCAGGTATCTTTGTGGCTCAAGGGACTTGAGCCTAATATCTTAGTAGAGTTTCTCCAAGGCCTCTCATTGCCTAATTTTTTTCCTCTAGGCTTTTTTCTCTGCAGGTCCCAGCACCACCAAAAATTTATCTGTCCCTGATATACAAACTGGAAGGGCGCACAGATATCACTGTTGCATTGGAACTCTCCACCCTGGATGTTAGAAGATGTAACATTGGAGGCATCTCATCTGTACATGGTAAGAAACCAGGACAAGTCTCTCTTTTACCTTCACTAAACTTCTTTCCTCTGATGTCTTTTCTTCCCTCTGGGCTTCTGTGGTCATCTCTGGAAGCAAAGGTCTGAAAGGACTTGGATGACCAGCAGGGTGGAAAGAGTGTTGGCAGGGGACTCACGGGGCCCTGGCAGTGGGTATTAAGGTCTCAGCTAAATTGTCTATACCTTCTTCCTTCCTTCAGGCAGTAGCAGAGTTCTTAGTGGACTCTACAGGTAAGGACAACATGTCCCAGAATGATCATATCAGAAGTAGACTAGAGGAAGGATTCACTTGTACTTTTCTTTTTAGATTAATCCCAACAGTCCAGGACTTTATTCATCTTTGAGCTCAAAAAGCTGTACCTCCAACTGGGTGTGTCATTGGGAGTGAGCAGATAAAGTGACAAGGAGTAGATGAGAAGGTGGGGAGCCCTATTACTGAGTGATTTTCTTATTCAAAGTTCAGTTTTACTGAAGGGAGATCAGATGCCCCCAATGTGACAGCTTCTTCAAGAATGGAAGTTTTGACTTCCTGGCTAGTTTCTTCCTGGTTCCTGGTTCTTTCCTTCTTGGCATTTTTGATTTGAGGATTTGGCTGGAAAAATCGAATTGAGCCTCATATTTTCCCTGACTTTTCTCTCTAGCAGGGCCAACCACTAGGCACACTCCCCGACCTCTCCAGATGCCCCCAGCCAAGCTGCTCAGGTGGGTTGGTAGATGCAGCCAGCAGTTCGACGGGGGCTGGATCCATCGGTGAGTCCCCCTCCCCCAAGGGTGTGTTGCACTGTGAAAGGGGCTGGCCTACCATGAAGATGGGCTAGAGGTGAGTGGGTATAAGGATTTCCAAGCTGAGAATTCCCAGGACTGGAGGGTGGTGGGGAAACTCCTAGGCTTAGTCATTCTTGCCTGTTGGAACAACCCTGTCCAGCAGGTTTCTAGTCTGCTGCAGGGTATAGGTCCTAGTTCATTACATGTGTAATTAACTTATCTCTGGAGTCCTAGGCCCTGGCTCAGGGCCTTTGTCATTTTGCTTCCAAACCCCCGTCTTCCATGGCTACTATAGGACTGGGTCATGGTAAGCAGTTAGCAGCATGAGCAGTTGAGCTGGGGTTTAGTCACTCAGTGAAGTCGTAGGGGATTCTCCTCGGCATAGAAGCCCTTCCTTCTTCCTATGTCTTCATAGCTTGTCTCTGCCCTCTCTACAGCTGCTATGAAGTGAATCTTCAGAGCTGCTTTTTGCAAGACATCTTTGTTAATTTCACACGCCCCTTGGGCAGCCAGAAGGATGAAAACTTTACTTGCCGCCTTGGAGAAATCCAGGTGAGGAGTCCTAAGTGTGAAGATTTCTGCTCTAAGACTTGTAGAAAGGAAACTTGGGGTCCTGGGGGCTCAACCTGTTAAGGGCTTATGCTGAACTTGCAAGGAAAAGGCATGATGTTGCTGTAAAACTGGGAACAAACTACAAAGCTTGCTAGTAATATCCCTTGTCTCAGAGAGAGGGGTGCCCAACTTGAAAATAGCACAGGGCTCTTTTTTCCCATCTTGGGACATTAAGGGGATATTCTGAACCTTCTTTCTTTTGGCAGGTAGTGGACGCAAACAGCCTAATGACACCCTTGTCCCAGGTCCGGGACCTAACTGCCTCCCACACCTGCTGGCAGCATATCCACTCAGAATTACACAGGTTCAAAATAAAGCTTCTTCTCAGCTGCACTCTCTGCTGGTCCTACCTGTTACCTCAAGCCTATGGCTTCCGAATCTACCATCGGGGAGGGAACTATTCCTGTAGAAAGGAGCTGCTGGACTCAGAAGAGCCCACGTTCTTGGGTCTAGCCCATACTAATATGTACCGTGTGGTAAACCTGGAAGTAGAAGAAGCCCCAGCTGGCCAAGACTGCTTTGTGGAGTTCTTGGTACAGCCTATTCCCAAGGAAGGATTCTTGGTTCCTCAGGCAGAGTGGGGCAGATTGACTCTGCTGTACTCAAAACCCAGTAAGCATTAAAGCAGCACTGTCTCATTGACTCCAGATTTCTTTCCTCGTTGTGGTGGAGGGAGGCTTGATTCAAGGATGTAAGTTTGGAGGTATTGAGGCAAAGGGCACTGGGGGATCTTGGGCATGGGTGTAGGCAGGAAGCTATTGGAGGCCCATGTAAGCCTTGGTACCTGCATTGGAACTGAGGCACACATAACTGCTTCTGTGTTTTTGTTTTTTTTAATCAATTCCTTGAGGTTGAAAATTTTTTCTCTGGCACAATCTGAAGACTCTATCCTAATCATTCTCTTTATGCTGAAAAGTTTCAAAGTAATTGTTACAGGAATTAGAAAAACTAAGTTAAGGGAAAATAGAAAGGAAGACGAAAGCTGTATCCTTACATTGAAGGTGGTAACCGTTTTTCTTCACTATGGTCTGAATCACTGAGGAAATGAGTTTAAATCACAGCTGGAGGATTTTAGGTAAGAGAGGCATGAGGTCTAACATGAGATGCTACAACCATGCTTTCACTGTGGGGTGAATGCTCTGGGCCTGGTAATTTATGAAGGCCCCACACCAAGGCAAGTCTTGGCTTCACTGTGGAAACTTGGTCAGTGCCCATTGTTTCTGTGGCTCTAGGGATGTGGGGAGGAAGGTGTAGCAATTTTCCCCAATCTGAGTCAAGGATTAAGATCTAAGGCTGGCGTAACAGAGATACTGCCCTAGATCTCTTACAGCCTTGTGACTTGGTCAAGATTTTTATAGCACAAAAGTCTTCTCTGTAGAAGGACTTTAAGGACTCCAAAGATTTTTTTAAAAACATATTTCCTTTCCTATGATTGGACTTGGTCTGAAGTTTTCTGCCTCCCTTGGCTGCACCTCTGTTCTAACTAGAAGCTGTTAGATTCAAGGAAGTGAGAGGCCTGGCTGATCATAGCCCTTTCTTCATTGTAGGATAGTAACTTGTCTCTTTCTGTCTGTCTTCTAGCCTGTTATCTTCTGTCATTCAGCAGAAACACCTAAGATAGGTCCATTTGACTACATCTTTTTCTACAGCCTTTTCCCCTTTGAAAGTTTTTTATATGTGCTGAACCCTCTTCATCTACTCCTTTTCTTCTCATCTCTTTGCCGTTTGTTTTTCAGTTTGGTCTTTGTCTTGGATGAATTAGTTTTATGGCCAGGTGTCACGAGGAGCGCCCAACACATTTGTTGGTGGTACTTTTCCAACTTGTCACCAGATGATGCACCTAGTGGCCTCTCCTGGAATACTTTGTTAGAGCAAGAAATCAATATTTAGCTTTTGTGATATCAGAGAAGATTGCTACACTGTACTGTGAGCCACCAGGTGGCAGCACAGGTCTCCTGGCTTCTTTTGCTCTCCCTTTGGCCTTTGGAATTTGGGAGCTTCATGGAGAATTGGCAGAGTCTAATCAAAGATGTAGGATACCTAAGGTTTCTTTGTATGTTGGTAGTGGGAGGATGGTGCTTTGTTCCTCTTAGTATTTTGCCTTTTCTTTTGTTAGGTTGTACCTTTCTTCCAGAGAAGGAACTCTGAATCTAGACTTTAAAATTAAAAAAACAAAAAACAAAATAAGCCCCTCCACAATACTTTGATCATTGTAATTCAATGTAATTGGTTTCCTTTTTAATCCTATATATTTTATTTTATGCATTTAACAACATTATTCTGAGAAGGGATCCATAGGCGTCCCTAGACAATGTCAAAGGGGGCATGTTCCAGAAGAGGTTTAAGAACCTCTGTTCTGAACGAAGGGTAGCCCTGACTACCTGCATCCCAGAGTTCTACGCTTCTGTCAAACTTGTTAGTTGCCATATAGGTTGCAACATGACTTTCAGACCACAGAATGACTCAGCCATGAACCTAACAAGGCATGTCAAAATGTAAATTTCTGGTGTCTTACAAATTTTATCAATACATCTTTAGGTTGAAAAAAAGGATAGAGGGAAGGAGCTAGGTACTATAAAGAGTAGTAGAATAATGTAAGAAGACAGATAAAAGTTCATAGGTGACAAAATCCAAGAAAGGAGATTCAAACACTGGGAGAAAAAAATATGACTTCTTAGATTTAGTGAAATGAGACTAATGAGTGGAATATAGCTTTGGAAAGGTGTATATACCTTATCACAAAACAAAATATAGGATAAGTTTTTTGGTTTTGTGTAAAGTTGCATGTGTATGGAGGGGGGAAGTTGAGTAATATTGTATTTTAAGAAGATATACTCAATGCAAGGCAATCTAAGAAGCAAAGCTGAGAAGCATGGTAGAGAACATTTGGGCTGAAGAGTAATGGGAGCAGAAAAAGAAGTAGTTTTGTCATTGGAGACCAGTTGGGCAGAAAGATAAAATATGAGAAGTTTGGGAAACCATAAGCATGGCAAGTTGGCTTGATTGAGTAGCGATGGAATTCCAGACAACTATTGGAGCTCTTACTTTCAAAAGTATGGGAGGTAACAATTTATTGACTTTAATTAGCTTTTGTGCCTCCTTTTCCATTTGGCTCATTTTACTTTTTAAGGACTTGTTTTCTACAGTCAGTTATTGTCCTTCCTTTTCCAAACTGTTGACTCTCTCTTGCATACCTCTCATTTCTTTTCCCAATGTTTCTTCTATCTCTCTTATTTGAGTTTTAAAATCCTTATTGAACTCTTCCAAGAAGGCTTTTTGGGCTTGAGACCAGTTCATATTCCCCTTTCAAGTTTTGGATGTGGGTATATGGACACATTGTCCTTTTCTGAATTTGTGTTTTGATCTTCCTTGTCCCCGTAGTAAGAATCCATGGTCATTATCTGTTTCTGCTTGTTGCTCATGATATTTGCCTGTTTCCTGACTTTTAAAGTTGAGCTCCTCTGCTGGAGCACAGTGGGCACTGGAGACTGTAAGGGTCCAGCAGTTTACCTGGTGCTGACCTGGGGTCAGCAGTACTGAAGCTTTTGGGGTGGAGAGAGGTCTGACTCCTGGAGGACAGCTGCTCTGAAGCACCAGAAGGTTTGGCTGTTGGAGGATGCCTGCCTCCTGGTTCCCCTGCATGTGCCAACACACTTAGGGGGGTTCTGGTGTTGGTGCTTGCCTGCTCCACCACCCTGGGGCTCAGGATCTCCCGCTGGTTTGCCAAGGTGGGGCTTGCTGGGATGCCTCCTTCCTATACTGCCCCACTTCCACCAGAGTGAGAGGGACCTTTCCTTTTAATCCCCCAAGCTTCCCAGGTTAAAAGACTGTTGCACCCTGTCTTTCTGCTGTTCCAGGGTTTTTTCTGGGGTGATATTTTCTGGGATTTTAGAGGTCGATAAAGGAGAGTGAGAGTGATTTACTTCTTACTCCGCCATCTTGGCTCCTGGAAATCCCCAGTTTGTTGACTTTAATAATGATTTCATTCTTCATAAAGTGGATCTGATTCTCTGGTTCCCGGAAGTGACCATACCATATTACATTTTGTGATAGAAGAGAGGAAAACTGGAAATGATCTTGCTTGCAAATTTCAAAGGGTTAAAATAAAAAACTTGATAGGATTCCATGGATTAAAATTCTCTAGGGAAGGTCATTCTGGAAGAAATAGGAAACTCTCAAGAATAAAATTCTGAAAACACAAAGAAAAACAATTCTGATAAGGAGAAAGTAATTGTTGAGATACATGTGACGATGAATTCACCAAACAACTTAGATTTTAAGTTTCATACTGAAGATGGAAGCAAAGGCAGGTAATATGGAAGTGTAATTTAGTTCTATAAAAATAGTGTGAGGTGTGCTAAAGCTAAGAACATGTTGAATTTGGTGGGGAAGAGCAATAAAAAGGGCTTTAAAATTATGCTGGAGAAAAGAGGATGTAGAAGGGATAGAACCCCTTTTGGGTGTATGGGGTGATGATAAGTGACAACAGAAATGGCAGCACTGCTCAGTCTACACTTCTGTTTTCTCTACCAAGAAAAGTGATATTTGGACTGGAAGTGATAGAACAAGAATGGCTGGTGGAGAATTGATACCCAAGAGAAGTAAGAAAATATTGAAAGCACCTGACTGTCCTTAATGAGCTGTAGTCACCAGACTGAGATAAACTATGTCCTCTGGTAATGAAAGAACTGGAAGATGTGATTCTCAGCATTCTTTGAGAGATGTAGAGAATAGGAGGGGTGCCATAGGATTAGAAAAGGGTGAATGTACTGATTTCCCAAAAGGAGCATAGGAGGAGAGATAGAGAACAGGAAGAGATTTTAAAGGAGGTGGCCTTATTTTACAGATGACAAAGCTGAGGAAATGGAGACATATGGGCTAGATATGCTATGGTTTGGTAGATCTGGGACTGTCTGAACAACTGGACTTAAATGGTTTGATGTCATCTTGGAAGGTCTTTAATGGAATTTCCCAGGGATCCTTGCCTGGCCTTGTGCTATTTAATGATTTTTGTCAATGATTTGGATAAAAGCAGATGGTATACTTATCAGACTTGCAGATGGCACAAAGCAGGGAGGGATAGCTAACAGAATCAAGATACAGAAAGATCCCAATAGGTTAGGACATTGGACCAAATTTAAAAGATGAAATTTAATAGGCATTGGGGGACTGAAATTTTCACTGGCTAAAATTCAGCACCAAAGCACCTGACCAAATTTAAAAGATGAAATTTAATAAGTATTGGGGGACTGAAATTTTCATTGGCTAGAATTCAGCACCATAGCACACAGGCTTTGCTACTGACAGTCATGCTTGATAAAAACAGAAATTTGGGCTAGGGGCGGTGCTTTCTTATTCTAACTTTTGTTGGGGTTGAAGTTCATTTACAGCTAAGCCTGTGAGGCTTTTTTGGAGTGTTTCAGAGTGTTATTCATAACCAAAGGCTTTGATCCTCAGCATGTGATTTAGGGGTGGAAAGGAAAGACCTAATCTTAGCCTGGGGGCACTCTGCCTGGCTTTTGTTAGCTGGTTGTGGTGGCTACAACTATGTCAGCCTGCCCTTTTTAAGGAGAAGTATTAGCCACGAGGTACTAGCAGACTGAAGCTGAGATGGCTGAGCTGACCCTAAAGAGATGAGCACAT